TTAAAAAATCATATATAAAAAAAACATCATTTTAACCAATCAAATTGCAGTATTAGTTTTTTATATTTTTACATTTTTTACAGCCAATAGAATTATTGTATTTTTATTAATTTGTTTTTTTATGCCCCTCCCCCCTATTCTTATGAGCTATTTTATTTTATGTTAAACAGAAAATCAATTTGGAGTAGCCTTACTAATGCAACCAAAAAGTAAGTTTTTTATTGTTTGATTTTTGAGTATCTTGCTGTCTATGAGCTCGCAAGGCTTCTTCACATTCACCGATTGCTTTTACGAACGGTCCCACTAAGGTATCAAAGTTTTTGATAAAATTATCATTATCCATTTCTCTTTGATACAGTTCTAATACCTTCTCAAACTTCTTTACATATTGTGCATACTTTTCTTGCCTTTCGTTCATCTTATTTTCCCATGCTATTACTGATGTGTTTCGCGAATTGCCAAAGCGACTACCTTCTGTTATAGGATTTTCAAGAGTAGAGTTCCAATCCGGATAAATCCGTCATCCGTTTATCCTTATCTGATTATCCGGATAATCCAAATTGCTCGGATATCCGGATAATCCGACAGATAATCAGATAATTATCCAGATATTAATAGTAAAACGGATATCCGAATAAATTCAGATTTGAATATCCAATGGATAAATGGATAAACGGATAATGGATAGAAACACTATTCAAGAGTAGAATTCTCTATAACGATTATATTGGCAAGTTTCCACAGGTTATTTTCTTGAAATATGGCTGGGGGCTTATTATTTTTAAAAACAATTAATGGATAGTCATGTCGTCTTGTTGTTTCACTAAAGGTAGACCAAAAATTTTCTTCTTTTTTTGCAACTAAGTGCTTGCAGAGAAGGTAACGGCTATTTACATATGCTGAACAGGAACATATCTAATTATTCACGTCTATATGGTACCTTTCATCCATATTAGGTTCAATATCTGTTGACTTAGTCTTATTCCAGTCTTTTTTAAAGGCTTGTCACCAAGATGGAAAATGTCAGTTCATATTATACTGGGCTAACATAAGATCGAAGTCTGGAATTAATTGTTCAACAAGGATATTGGTGAGATGATCAAGCCGAGGCCTATTATAATTATATTTATAATTATATTTAAGTATCCGCCAATAGCTTTATGTAATCATAGTAGTTCGAGCTAAAGGCATTGCATGGGAATAAGATGAACAAGCAAACAGTGTCTAATCATTTCCGTTGTACCAATTTAACCAAAGATATCTCCACAATTCACAACACCCATGATTGTAGCAAAAATGATAAACTTCTTGCACACAATAGTAATAGATCTGTGCTAAATCCCAAAAAACATTTTTTTCAACTGGAATTAACAGATGCATATTTGTATGCCATTTAATTATATTAATAATTTCTTTTGCTAATTCTTCTGAGCATAAACTTCTAATGCTACCAGTTGGGATTCACGATGAGTCGATGAAGTTAAATTTTTGATGAGCTTCAAATGCCTTTTCCTGAGAATAAGTATTTGATCATGGTTTTTTGTCTTTTAAACGTTTACTAATAGCATTTTCTAAATGCCAATAGTATAATTGAATATTTGTTTTCCAGGACCAGGCTTCACTAACAGCTAAAATTTTACCAGCATCCTTGTTTAATAGCACAAATGAAGGCAACAACCCCTCCTGATGAAGACCGAAGAAGAAACGTTTAAGAACCTGTATACAGGTAGTAATTCCATCTTCTGGATAATGATATATTACTTCAGGATTATGCGATACAAGTAGGTATAAATATGCTAACGGCATACCATATCCTCCACAGTTAGCATTTACAACAAAAAGTTCAAATCGCTCTTGATTTGTTTTAAATGTAGAGTCTATTACTATTTTAGTTATATTTTCTACACCAATTCGACTAAACAATGGAGTAACGAATTCCAAGACACACACAAAATTATTATCAAAATGAGTTAGAATTTTAAACCCTCTAGATAAAATTTCAGACCATTCTAGGTATGTCTTAGATGATAAAAGCTGATCATCTTGGTTTGTGAGATAAGCTTGTTTACTATAAACTGATGCCCAATAATATACTTGTTCTTTTGTATGTATAGAGTTAATTAATTTATTCTCAGTGAGATGTTAGTATATTACTGAGCTCTGCAGGTTGTATTGAAGATGTCTTTGGATCCATTGTTTTGCTTCTTTTGGAAATTCGGTTTGTCGAAATGACGGATGTTCATAGAAGCACAAATATTCATATTGTATACTTGCGCATTGTAGTTGAATGTTTATACTAATTGTAATTTTTTCTCCACAAAGAAATCGTTGTATCGCAGTGCGGGCTTCACTTCGCCTTTTGACCTCTTGATTATCTTGCCATTGCCAAATTCAATCGTTGTGTGATGCACAGTAAAGGTATGCAGTAGCACGTCCTGTAAATGCTTTTCTTTTTAAATTTAAGCATAACTTATGTATATTCCAATAATATCCGGATCCAGATTCCAATAGTAAAATAAGGATTTTAGTAAGTTGTACGAAGCTTTTTTTAACTTTTTTCAAGTCCAGTGATCCATCCTCAAGATCAAGATCTTGACCAAGCTCAACGACGTTTAAAAGTTCTGAGTCCAATTC